AAGTATAAGAAATATTGTATAAGAAATTAACTTACAAATATAGTAACTTAAATAACTGTACTCCTTTCTGCAAGGTGGGAACAGGAAAGGGAGTTACAAAAGGAAAATAATTTTAAAGAAAAACAAAACTTACCATTTTATCTTGCCAATGATCATATTTGAAATCATACATACAGTCATAATAAAGGCTTTAAAGTTTGTTTAGATATATGCTGACAATACATATACTATTTAATATAAAATACAACTGGGATTTGTGGCTGTAATCCCATCTCTTAATCACACTCAATAGTTTGTTTAACTTAATGCACTACTGTTTGTTGTCTGTGCTAACTGATCTAGCCTGTTTTCTTCTTGAAGCCTATATTGTAAATTAGCTGATGATTTCAAGCTTGTTAATCGTTCACATAGATGCCAAGTTCGGCGATAGGCCACACGTGAGATAGACCACACCCCCACAATTTTAGGGGGGTCAGGAGGCATGCCCCCCCTGGAAATTTTTGAAATTTGGGTCTCTGAAATGGCATTTCCAGCGTTCTCAGGACATATTTAAAAAAAATTTAGAGAGAAAGCTCGGTCGCTATTGACTAAATATAAGTCACCAACCATAAAAATCCATATTAACAGCGTGAGATCAAGTGGTGTGGAGGTAAAAAGACCCTGGGTACAATGTTGATCAAATTTCACCGCTTAGGTCTCAACACCTTGCTGGTATTAAAACATATTCTCGCCCAGTAAAATGCGTCAAACTCTAATCCGTAATTCGATAGCGTTACTGCGATAGGCTGATATAGTATACCATTTGTTGTAATATTGCAATATCCGGCTTGTTGTGTATAATATAGCTTAAAATTGGAACTATATTACTATAATCTCTAAAAAGTAAACTAAATAAAGCATTTAACTTGTTCAAATCTTTCTAAAAATGACTATGATTTCTCTAAATTTCAACTTTTTAGCTAACTCCCTATTTATGCGTGAGATATATCATATCATGCGTGTGAGCGTGAGAAATAATGCTGAGGCGTGTGTCACACGCTTAATGCGTGAGACTTGGCATGTCTGCGTTCATATGTCATAGGTTCGATCACACAAGATGAAAGTGATTTTACTCTGCTAATAGCAACATAAGAAACTCTAGCAGTTCTTTCAGATATGCCAATATCTATCCATGCTTTTGGAAGTGTTAGTCCTTGGCTCTTGTGTATTGTTAGAGCCGAAGCAAGCCTAAGAGGTAACTGTTGCCTTTCATGGAAACCTATTTCTGTCTGTGATGTGACAGTGATTGGACATAATGGGATAGACAATGGTTGGCTTTCATTAAAAACAGGTCCTCTATAGTTTTCAAATTCTACTATCACCGCAATAGGTAAGTCAGGTGGTTAATGGTTGTTCTGATAGACAATATCAATAACTGTTCCATTAGCCCCATTACAGAGGCCAACACTTGACCAGAAATTCATAGTTAACATCACCTTAGCACCTTTTGCTAGAAACACAACAGGTTGTAACCCAGACATATCATCTGAAGATATCTTTTTTGCCAATGCAGAGGAATGGCGAGCATTAATATGAGCATTTGGATTATCAAGTTTTGTTAACTGTTCATTATTGTAAATTGCAACTTGTTCATTACTATAGAAGAGTCTAGTAGCATCTTCAAAGTCACATAAATTAGTGACATTCGATGGTTGACGTGTCAGAAGTAATTTCCAGTCATCGACTGTTGAGTCACCTTTGCGAAGTCATAACAACAAATCTCTGAACTGTACTTGTTCAGATGTCATACCTTGCACACGTTGATTTACAGTGAGTTTAACAACTTTGTCAAACATATGATATGCTTGATAACCTTGTTCACCAACAGCATTTGATGGTTTACCATGATAAAGGGGCTTATCTGCTACTGGTGGCAATTGACCTGGATCGCCAGTTAAAATCAATGATTTTCCACCAAATACTTTGTCATTATAACCAGTTTGCAATGCTTGTCTATCCAACCAAAAGTAACTTGACCAAGCATGGAGTATTCATCAATAATAATGTATCCAATGTTATTAACACTCTCTTGTAACCTACACAAGCTTTGTCCTGTTAAGTCTTTACTACCTCTTGATCCTATAGGTAACTTTAACAGAGAATACACAGTTACACCTCTAATATTATAAGCTGCTTTACTGGTGGTAGCAGCAACAGCACATTTACTTTGCAAAAGATTTCTAATAGCATTAATAAGGTAACTTTTACCAGTTCCTGCAACACCATTTATAATGAGACATAGTGGCTCTTTCTCGGATGATGCATCATCAAAATGAGACTTGACAATGTCATAAGCAAGTTTTTGCATTTCACTAAAACTGTTGATATTAACATCATATTGCTCATCAATAGTGTATTCCTCTTTGTTTGTTTTTATCCATGTTGGCATTTCATGGATTTGTTGTTCTGAATAATTAGCTCTGTCATGATGCCAGTCATGTGTTGACTCTGCTGTTTGCTGAAAATTTTCAAAAGGAGTCTGAAGATCTGATAATATCATCCACTCTTCTCGAGTTACCTCCTGTCCTTCAGAAGGTTCATCTTCTGGTTCTTGACTTTGAATGACAGCTTGTAATTTGTCCAACCAGTTTGGGACATTAGATTGTCCGTAAGGTGTTTGCAAGAATTCTTGCCACGAATGAATTAAGATGTCATCAGTTGGTTTTTGGTCACCCCATGCATTGTTTGGTGTTGTTCTCCAGGGTTTGTACCTCAATAGTTGATATTTACAATATAGGCCAAAATTTGGACCTTTGGCATTAGGAGAATATGTTGGAAATATTCTTGGTATAACATTCTCTGGTAATTTAGTTAATTTGTTGTTAACAACTTTGTATGTTGTAGCAAATTCAACAAAGTTCATATTTATTACAGTTTGTGAACTCTCATATTGTTCACGATTAGCATACACATCAAGAAGTGAATAGTCAGTGCATGATTCACCCTCCTCAATACACGCTGTATCACGCACTCTTCGTGAACCATTTAAACTTACTGGCATGACTTTAAATGATGAACTATGGAGTTTCAAAGATAATAAATGATGCATTGTCTCCTGGGCTGCATAATCTCTTTCACCAAGAGATTTCATAACTATCTTCTTAATAGCTCTGCGGGGGTAAGTATTACTGTCAACATTTTGCATAATAGAATTGAATGCTTGTTTCAACATAGGTGACCTTGGTTCACCTTTTGCTGCATATTTTGTGAGATATTCAACACAAGCATAATGATCAATGACAACTTGAATATCACAGGTAGCTCTCCATCGTTGGATTTGAAGATGTTGGTGGTTATTTAACCTAGAGTCATTTGGTTTAGTCACAATTTTGGCTCTATAATGTTCATTATCACCCAAAGTGTGAATTTTTTCAAACTCTAATTTTGTCAGAGAACAATGATCAAAAGGGAAATGAAATCTACATTTCAATTTTCTAAGACAATAGCTTGTACTACAACGAGTGTGTTGTTGTACCATGTTTAATAGATCTACATAATCTGATTGTTTTTCATGTTCAGAAATATCATGATGATTTTTTGACATGGATGAATTTGAGGTCTTATCCACATGTCCTCATCTGGTGAATTTGGGTTAACAGTTGATAACAACCAATCAACATACTGACATACTGTATCAGCAGCTTTTTGACCAGCTTCAATATCCTGGTCTAGTTCTGTTGTACTGGTATTGGAACAATCATTCTCATCTTTAAATTTCTGAGCCAAGAAACCTCTCAAAGCAGTCTGAGTAAGTTGACACAAACCTGGGTGATTACATAGTTTAGCAGTACCATGACAATGGATACTACCTCTACCTTGGTATTCATATCTAAGCCAGTGCCATTTTGCACCAAGAGTATCATAAAGCCAGTGTTTTACAAAACTTTCTAATCTTTGGGTGAAAAACCAATCTACAATATGAGGATTGTTAATTACATTTTGTTGTCTTACTTCACTGCTAGAATTTCCAATCTCATTATCAGTGTCAGCTTTGAATAAAGCATGTAATTCAGGCCAATGCATATCTGCAGAAGAAAAAGTGAAAAATAATGTTGGTGTTCTAACACTAGTTATAATTGCCCTGAGTTCCTCTCTTACTCTATTCCAGTAAGCATTAATACCTGCAATATTGCCAACATATCTAGACACTTTAGACATAAACACATTTGCATTGTTACTGGTAGCCATTTCACGCAGTTCATCAATGGTGAGATGTGCTTCACCTGGATTCTGTTTAAGGAATATTCCACTTTGCTGCAAGATTCGCTTTCTTTGAATCATGTTAAAAGCCCAATATGAAAATCTGGGGTGGTTTGCAAAACGATTGACCCATTTACCATCAATAATTTCAGCAAATTTTAAAAGATGCTTTATTCGTTCCAGAAGAGGGACATTTCTGAGCAGTCCTTGGTTGGTGGGATCACCTTTCCCATCAGGAAATAATGCTGGAAAGGCCATAGTGGCCAGGTGTGAAATCTGATACTCATTTAATGGTTGATCTTCAACAGAGGGCTATTGCATTGGTTCATTTTCAGATAGCTGATTTCTAACAGCTTGAATTTCCTGTTGTTGTTGTTCGCCAACAGGTAAAAAACTGCTCATTTCATTAGAATCATTATAAACAGTATCCTCTGAGGGATTGTTTGTAGGAGGACCTACATCTGAAGAACAATCATTATCTGAAACTATATCTTTGTCAGTCTCAACAGTCATAAGATCTGGTGGAACACCATTCTTAGGCAATGAATTTAATGCATCTTCATTAATTAATAATGGCCGTTTTTATACTACAGACGATAATGTCGTCGTAGACGACATTAACGTTTTCGGACGATATTAACGTCCAGTATAAATACGGTCAGTAAGGCAGGCGACATTACCGTCACACGACATTGTCGGCTTAAGTTAAGAGCGTCTATGAGACGCACTTACAGACGAAATGAACGTCTAACGGTATTATCGTCTGCAATATAAAAACGTGAAGGCATTATAATGACGACCCAAACGCAAATTATCAGCTGAATGAAATCGAGGCTGAGCGCAGAAAAAACATGGCGTCCAAAAAGAGAGAGACTCGTGGTCCAAAGTGGAATTCATTCGAGCTTAAACTGTTCGCACTTGTTCTTGCAGACGACGAAAATGACTTTGCACTTACATTGGAGTCTCTGGCACTAAAAAAATCGGCCAACATTCATGTATTTGAAAGTATAAAAAAAGAATTTGATGAAAAGCTTCGAACACAAACGTTGGCAACTACTGAAACAACACAAAATGAAACTGAGCAACCCTCTAAGTCCAGGAAAAAAGAAAAGCGAAAGACGATCGATACGTCAATACCCAAGCTACGAGCAAAGTACAAATGGATGAAAGACAAGTGGAAACAATACACTGATAGAGCAAAGTCAGGAAGCGGGAAAGCATCTTTCGACGAACCGGAATGGTTTCACATCATAGACCCTATACTATCTGAAACCAACGCGAAATTAAAACTTGCTACAAAAGCAGATGATCTGAACTCCAGTCTAAGCGAAGATAGTGATTATGCTAAAAGTGACGATGGGAAAGAATTCGAAAGTAACAAAATACAACTTTCAACAAGAGATCTGCAGCCAAGTCCTTTATCAATTGGGTCAAACACCTCATCTTTTGATGGGACAGAATCAACAAACCTGGATCAAACCTGCTCCTCAGCAGATGAGGATGAAGGCAATAACAGGTACTGTACGGGTCTTGTAACTTACTAGATTTATAATTACAAGCATATTTTTTGAAATATGACCCCCTAACTTTATAGGTTACTGAATAGAAATAGCTTACTGGGTTACAACTCACAAGGCACAGACAGGGTGGATTGTAGAGTGAATGAAAAATTACAGCAATATGAATACACCTCACTCTATTTCTTTCTGTTGCACTCGTCATGGCACCGTCCTCATGGAGGGACCCCCACCCTCCTCACCCCAATGGGAGGGATTCTCCACAATCACGATCAGACTGCATAGGAGACTACACCCCGGAGAAATGTGGGGCATTAGGTTTTTCATCATTTCAAAAAAAAAGCCCTACATTTTGGGGACAAACTTTTAGTCTAAGCCCCACCTATACATTTTAATGTGTGTGTGTTTATAGCTTTTTTAAATGTTGTCTTAGCTCTGAGATTCATTCATGAATAGATTTTAAATATTTATATATTTTGATATACTTGGAGATGCTTGAATGACCATTACTAAATTATATATTAATAACGAAAACTTTATTCAACTTTCGTATATACTTACAATTGCAAATCTCCTTTACCTTCCCCTTCGCCACCTTACGCTAAACCTTTCCCTAGGTATGCCCCATATTTTCCTGGGGTGGGGGGTTCCCAATGACAAGTGCATTATTTAACTAAAATCATAATGCTTTACAAAAATTATGGCTAATTGCAAAGTAATACATGCTAATTGTAAGACATAAAAATAGGTGAGGTCTGTATTCCAACAAAATGTTTACTGAAATTGCAGTTCTTCCAATGCTAAAGAAGTATCAAAGAAAGAGGCTGTGAAGTCCAGTGTATTTGTGCAGCCCAAAAAACGTAAAGTGACTTCTCAAAAGGATGCTATTGCTAAACTGGCATCCAGCTTTGATAATCTCCAAAAATCACAGGAAAAACGCATGGAAATGTGGGCAGAAGCTGAACGAAAGAGAGAAGAAACTTTTCTACAGTATCAAGAAAAACAAGCAGAGTTAAACAGACAGCATGAAATGCAACTCATGGAGATGATGATTCGCCTACAGCATCCTGTCCAACACCCTTTGCAACCACAGCAAAATGCTTCACCTTGGGTCATACCTGATGTTGCATATCCACTGAGTACCTTTAATGAAGCATCCTCTCCTCAGCCACACTATACCAATTTGGATGGTTTTAATAGAAAGGGTTAAAAAGGTTTAAAACCTTTTTATTGATCACATGAAGACTTGGACTAGCATTTCCATTCAGATTGCTGTATTTTATTCTTGTTTTAAAAGGGGTTTTTTGACATTTATGCTTGGAAAATCTAAACCAAGAACTTTTGAAAGAAACTATAGTTTGTATTCTAAAGAACAGTTTCAACATTGCCTTTTATTGGCTTAACTCAATAAAAAGCAATGTTCCATAGGCATACACCTTATTTCATTGTTAATACCAAACAATTTATTTAAAGCCTAATTACCCTCCCTAATTATATCTTACACCGGCAAACTGCTGAAAAGTCTAACAATATGTCATCATAATTTATAGTTTATTTGTGTTAAATATATATTTGTTAAGATACTGTACTGTTCATATCAATAAGTTGGTGGTTTGCTCAAAGGTACTATTTGACTATATGACCAATGATGTTATGGTTCTGGCAAAAAATATTTTATACTACAAACTGTGGTCCCTGCTAATTTAGACAATTTACTATTTGGTCACCCAACATATTTCATTATACCAAAAAAACCTGCAGAAATATTAAGTATTGGCAAGCAAATGTTTGAACATAGGATTTAATACTGCTGCCCTACTTCACTACTTCTCTCTAAAAGCTTTCTAAAAACATAGATTGCAAACTTATTACATTGTGCTTCAAACTTTCTGTCTTCTAATTAATTCAAGGTTTTAATTTTTTACCCTCACCCAGTGTGGTGTCTTCAGACAGTTATATCCTTTACCCTATCAGTTGCCTTTTCTGTTGAATATCCCAAAGCCAATCAGTAATGGTCATTCTGACCTGGTCTGCCTCATTTGTATTTTGATCCCTGGTGTCCTTGCTCCTGATAAGGTCCAATTTGCTTACCTCCAGCCTCCACCGAGGTCTACAAGGGTCATCTCGTTGAATGCAAATGTTATGAAGAGCTATGCAAGCCATAATTATGTGCCTGATATTTCTCAACCTACACTCAGTCTTCTTATATAGTACTCTCCATCGTCCCTTAAGCATTCCGTAGGCATGTTCTGTAACAACCCGAGCTGAACATAGTCTTTTGTTAAAATAGCGTTTAATAGGATCTCTTGTATTTTCATTATATGGCTTCATCAGCCAGGGGTAACGTGGAAAAGCTGAATCACCCACTGTTGTGATGGGTATATCTCCATAATCATTTGTTCTTAGAGAAGCCTTGGGAAAGACATGTCCCTGTTGAATTTCATGAAATAGGGTGCAGCTCCGGAGTAACCTTGAGTCATGTGTTGATCCAGGTGCCCCAACAGCTGCCCAATAAAACCTCTTGTCTGCAGCAACAAATCCCATGGAAGAGACTGAGTAACGCTTCTTGAAGCTAAAGTAATTTTTTAATTTTGTGCTGACGTAAACATGGAAACCATCCCATGCCCCAACACATGGGAATTCCCAATTCTCGAGGAAATTTCGGAGTTCTTCTTTCCACTCTGACTGGTTTCGTGGCAAATAAACATATTTGTCATAAAATGTTGAAACCAATATCTTGCATACTTCATTAAAAATGACTGAAGCAGTTGATTCAGCTACACCAAACAGGTCTCCTAGGGTACTGAAGGTACACCCATGCGCCAGCCTGTATAGACAAATTGCTAGCCTAGTGTGCGGGGGAATAGGACGCGGTTTGAAACGAGTGGGAGTTCTTACAAGTTTGCTTCTTATATCTCCCAGCAAAAAATGAAATGTATCTCTATTTATTCGTAGGCGCTTTTTGAACGCAGCATCACTCCAATTTTTGTATCCATGTTCCCACCACGAAGTATCTCTTGCTTCATCTTGATCTCGTAACTTTCTAGGTTTCTTTCTTGCTACCACAGAACACAAACCAATCGCCCCCAACATTTCTTGCTCATCGTCAATTTCTAATAAAACCCGCTTCGTTGCTCGATTTTTGTTTCTTAAAAACATTTCCACTTCCATTTTTTGCTTTTCCTGTCGCCTTCTAATAATTGACTTCATAAACTGCTGCGTAGTAAGTGAAGTACATGCCATTATTTAAATTTTAGAATGTTTTTATTGTAGATATTACCTTGTTGTCAGTATTTCCTTTTCGCACAATTGTTTTGCGCCAGAATACTTGTGTCCAGGTCGCTTCCGATCGAAACCCGGTCCTTTTCTCTGGATTGAACCCAGTCTCTTTTCTCAAATTTATTGCACGGTTTGTGGCACCATCAATTTTCCGTCTTGTCATAGCTATCCCGTCTTTATCTTAGAAGACATTAACGTCTGAGACCATATTAACGTCCGGACGACATTATCGTCTGTAGTATAAAAACGGCCAATTCAGAATAATGTGGGTTATTATTGATAAGCCAAACTAAAGCATTGTGCACTTTTTGCTTTCGCACTCTTGCATCCTTGAATGTGTTTTCTCTGCCTATAACCTTGATAATAATCACAGCCAAATCTTTGGGGTATCTTGGCAAAGATGTTGCAAGTTCTGTGACTTTTTGTGGTAAATTAATACAATGCCCTGAATAACCCTGTTGACCGCCAGGTTTAATATACACTCTCATAATAGGAAGCGCACGAGCAATTAACATTTCCTCAATCTGAGTTAAATTTTGCAATTCACATGGAACAGTTGAAGGTCATTGAGTTTTCAGCAGAAAATTTTTTAGGAGATTTTTTATCTCTAGAGCATCGTGAACACACATAAGGTGACCTTGGTTTAGATTTCAAGGGCCATGCCTCCTGAAATACTGTACACTGACTGACAGTGTATTGCACAGACTTGTGAAATTTATTAATGTTTGCCTCTGCCCAACATTGCTCTTCAATACCACCATTTTGAGTGCTTTCAAACATATTTAAATAATCCTGTTGGCTTATTTCACATTGAGGCTGTGAAACTCTTTGTGCACGTTTTTGCTTTTGATAAAGTCTGTCTTTTTCAAGTCGCAATTGTCTCTCACTGTCTGTTTCTTTTATTGCTTTCTTTTTTTTGACTCCCTATCTTTCTCAAGTCTAATTTGTCTTTCACTGTCAGTTTCCTTTGACTGCTTTCTCTTTTTAAACTCCTTAACTTTCTGAAGCCTAATTTGTTTATCACTGTCAGTTTCCTCTGACCGCTTCCTTTTCTTAGACTCACTATCCTTTTTAAGTCTAATTTGTCTGTTGTGACTACTTTCCTCTAAAAGCTTTTGTTTTTTAAACTCTCTTGCTTTGCAAAGTCTAGCTTTTCTTTCACTGTTAGTCTCAGAAGCTATTAATTGCACAGGTACAATTTCGAATAAATTGGTATGTAGTTCAATTGACAGAAAATACAAATGTTGCTCTAAATCCAAAATATCATTAAACTTCATGACAACAGCTGTGCCATTAGGATTAGGCATGCCATTAGAGTCTCTGGCACGTGAGACAAAAAAGAAGGAAGTATTCATTTGCTTTATTAAAGCAATCATATACCCTTCTAATATCAAAATTGCACAAGTATATTTTAAAAAAGTATTCAACAGCGCTGTGTGAATGTCATAGTAAGAGACTCGATCTCTCGGTCAGTTATGACAAGGCCTTGAAGCTCTTTTCTATACTTTATAAACCAAACTTGATTTTCATTTTCTACCTCAATAGGCTCTACAGAGACAGGTAAATTATCATTGTTTTCTTCCTCAAAAGGCTGAATGACAATGGGTATGCCATTGTTATTTTGTGGCTCAAAAGGCAGATCAATTTTATTTGTGCCTCAACAGGCTCCACCACAATGGGCAGATCAATTTTACTTTGTGCCTCAATGGGCTCCACCACAATGGGCAGATCAATTTTACTTTGTGCCTCAACGGGCTCCACCACAATGGGCAGATCAATTTTATTTTGTGCCTCAACGGGCTTGATCACAATGGGCAGATCAATGTCATTTTGTACCTCAACCGACATAACAGTGTTCTTTTGTCAAACAAAGGACTCTATCATAACAGGACGGTCACTATTTTCACTATTTGATGTCACTATCACAGGTGATGTTGTTTTTCCTTGACATTGTCCCTGAACAGGCGATCTCACAGACGGACACATCTCGTATGAAAGCTCGTTTTTGCTACACAAAACACTAACAACTGTTGGTAAGTTAGCTATAGATAACAATTCCACACCTGGGTCTAAGACAATTAAGCCATTATCCAGAGCTTCTAAGTACATTTTGTCCCCTTGTAATAAGACATTATTCAATGTAGTTGTCGACCAATTGATCAGTGGTGTATTTTGGGCTGTTAAAACGGCCGACAAACTCATGAAAGCACATTGCTTTCCTCTAGACTGAACACTAAAAATTTCATCGCCCTGATGTATATTAGAAGAAAGAAATAAAGCCATACTTGACTTTTTTCAAATATTTGTACTTTTGAACACAGAGCACATGGAAGGAATCTTGCGTACACACTACAAAATCTTGTTTGACCACCCGCATTTAAAAAACGTACCTGAATCTTACTTATCCCCTGGAAAATGGACAGACATCCGACCGACGCTAGATAGAAATATCGACAATACATAGATCGCGCGAAACACTGGGGGAATGGGCACGAAAACGCAGTGCGTCAAGAATAGTGTGCTGCCTCCCCCTAAGCTTCATATTAGGTATTTGCTTCAAGGATGGGCAAGAAACCCCTTGTTTGCCAGCAAGTATCACAAACAACTTTTGGCTTAAAATGTTTAAGACATGCCTCCTTAACTTGGGCAACTGTCATCTCTTCATTGTAATGTTCTTCATCATCATCTTTGTCGTGGAAAAATTCCCTGGAAAAATTGGAAAAATTCCCTTGGGCCACTGCAAGAGTACTTTTGAGTTTTGCCTGATACGTCTGAGGTTAATCTTTGAACGATGCCAGTGCAAAGCTTGCAAAAGCGTAGGTTTGATTCCTGCCGGAGGACATATAGTTGACTCATTTTTCCATCAACTGTTCCTGGCGTGAATCTGAAGTGTGTATAATACCACTCGAAATTAAGACCCTTTAAACCACTAGAATATTAAAAAACTGTACTTGATAATCATCTGCATTCCAAACGTTCTCACTCCAGACAATCTCATGCAAAACAAGACGCCTGTTCTGGCATTAACTCTGGCATGCGGCGCATGTGCCAGCCTTCAATATAAAGCTTCTGAACATAACAATACAGTTCATACTCATTTAGACGCCTTGGAAACCAAAATGTTGTTTCGATCTCGACATTCTTAGAAGCCCATCTTACTTTAAAAAGTATAGAAGTTCAATTGTTCAAAAATGTAAATAAGCGAAATGATATGTTCACTTTGCCTTACACTTTGGAATTCGCTTCTGTGACGTGTCAAGGTGCCCATACACAACCAACTTTTGTTAAACGGCGAAATAGCAGTGATATTATAGATTATAACGGAATTTCCGTATCATGCAAGCGAAATCAAATTGCTCATAGGAAAATTAGATTTTGAGCTATGCATCACAACTCTTGGACGAAAAAACTGTGACATAGATAAATAAATATGGTCACATACACTTTTCAAATACTAGTATATTTAATGCCAAATCATAATAATAAAAAATAAATAAAATAAAAACAAAACAAAACCTTGTTTTTAGTCAATATTTTTATCTTATATGTGGTTGCAGGTATTCAGATCCTGTAGAGATGGCTATGGCTATGCCCTCATTGCAGGGGTATTGGAGGGTGCCTTTTGAAATAATAATAAAGATAAGATAAAAAGATAGTGAGATAAGACAATAAGATAATAAGGCACCAAGTAATTTGAAGTCTTGTAGTTAAGGGCCAGTTGGCGTATGTTTTTATCAGCGGAGTTCATCCCTATCATCTCCTTCTTTGGAAAACAGACAGTGTATTAGCTTGATGGGTAGCCTGAGGTTTGGTGTATGTTGAATGCCAGAACTTCCTTTTTGTTTTTTCGTTTTTGGTCTGCATGCTCTTGAATTTTCTTCACCTTTGAGACACTAAACTCTAGGTGACACAACCTGTGCCAGGAACCATGATTGCTACACAGGCATTCTATATCTATCTTTTCACCTAAGTTAATCTCAATTGGTAACGCATTAGCTCGGTGAAAACTTTCAACGTTTTGGAGAAATGATAAATGTGTTTTCCAGTTTGCTCCCGGTGATCCATGGCTGTTATTAAGCGGACACTTAAGAGGCTCTTGTGTTGTCTGCTGGAATATTATACATTTCAATTGGCATTTCCAACAAAACTCCTAGAACAGATCAAACTTCCTACTTCATATAGATCTTGATATCAATTTATCTGAATAAATATAAGTGCAACCAAGGAGAATGATATGATTGCCTGCAGCTATAGCTCTTTACAGAAACATACTTTTAGTTTACAGAATTGTCAGAAACTGCTCATCAAAAGCAAGAAAATTATACTTAAAAATGAAAAGAAATATGGCTAAAATATGCTAGACAAAACCCCCTAGCGCTAATATGGCTGCTACGTTTTTTGGGGCTCTTGGATTCTGTTGTAAAATTATTTGTTATATTTGGCTTTCTTTATGCTCTTGTTTCATGTTTGAAATTGAGAAAATTAGAAGTAGACAACAAAATAGAAGTAATGCTGTTGAGGTATTGCTTCTAAATCGTCAATTTGCGGCAAAATCTATGGCAAGGGAACAAGTTCGTCGACAGTTAGCCCACAGTTAGCGGTTCCAAAATGTTTGTTTGTTAATATATGTAGGCTCACAAAGACAAATAATAGAGTCGAAGCTGTTGTAACTCTTAAAGCTGATTTGCGGAATAATGACATTGATGTATGTGTGGTATCTGAAACGCATCTCAAACCAGAACAACCTGATGCCATTGTTAATCATCCAGACTATTCTATATACAGGAGGGACAGAAATTGGTCAGGCAATGACATGAGAAATAAGGGTGGTGTCGCGGTATATATTCATAATAGTATCACGGTTGTTGATGTTCATAGAGCAACTGATTATGAGGTTATCTGCATAACAATACGTTTGCCCTTGGGACAGCATTTGTTGATATGTGGTTTTTTATCATCCTCCT